GCTGTCCATGAGAACATGTTTCCAGTTTCCATTTAATCATCAAAAAACAATTTCCACTATTTTTAATGATTTTTTTATATAGTTATTATTTTTATGTTTTTTCGGAACAAAATATGTCCGATTTGCTTTAAATTTTGTCAAAATAAAAGGTAAAAACAATATTTTTGTGGTTGATTTTAGTAAATGTGTGTCTCTAGAACATCTGTGTACAATTTGAGTCTGTTCCAAAGTCATTCAGTTAGTCAAAATATTATTTTTTCAATTTTGCCTGTTTTTGACGGATTTTGGGAAAACGCTGCTTACGTATGGGTATATAAAATTAGCTACAAAAAACAAAGTTATGAACCGATTGTCATAATTGAAAAAGATTAATGATTCTCAGGTGTTTTTCTAACTGTGTGCAAAATTTCAGGTCTGTAGCTCAAAAATTGAATTTTGGTTGGCACATGCTACAGACAGTAGCCTACAGTACGTTCAGAGCTGAACTATTACCGGATTACACCCTTTTAATTTAATGGCGCTATTGCACTTTCGTACCTCTACCAGTTCCCGTGGTCGTAGGAACTTGAAATTTTCAGAGGATGTTCAGGGGGACTAGCAATGACCACACACCAAATTTCAGCCGAATTGATCAATAACTTTTTATTTTACCGACCTTTTAATTTCTAACGAGAGAGAGCTTCATCCGTTTGACGCCATTTGCTTTGTTTACTATTTAGACTCGAATAACAAGACACTAAGACGGAAACCGACTCGAATAACAAGACACTTAGACGGAAACCGACACACTGCACCAGCTGCCTAACACTGCAGTTCATAAAAATTAATATAATTTTCGTATACTTTAATTTTTGCGCGAAGCCACCATTTTCAATAAAATACTATTTGGTGTTGATCAGTGGATTGGCCGTTAGGTGTAAATATTGCCGTGACCTTGATTTTGACCTTGAGGCCAAACTTCCCACCCATATCGGGGCCTTTGCGTTTATGCTTGCCGTGGCCTTATTTCTAAATGTATTATCAAAGTTAATGTTCGAGGTTAAAGCAGAGACGACGTCCTCCAGAAAAGATAATTGGGTCAAAGTCGTAGGTCAAGGTCATCTTACAGAAAACTAAACTCAAACTTTTCAAAGTCAGTTTTGGGACATTTGACCTTGACTTACGACCTTGACCCCGTAACCATTTTCGAAGGCTATCAACTTGGCTTGAACCATCGACGTTTACTTTGATCCTGTCGCACACTGTTCGGTCAGATAGGTTCACTACAATCGTATCATGAGGTCAGATGAATCAATTACATTGACCGCGCCTATTGACTTCCTTTCGAACACAGACCCTCTTCGTTTGATCGTTTTCTGACCGAGCAGTGTGCGACAGGACCAAGGTAAACGTCGATGGCTGAAGCCCAGATGATGGCTGTTTAAAATAGTTAGGGGGTCAAGGTCGTAAGTCAAGGTCAAATGTCCCAAAAATGACTTTGAAAAGTTTGAGTTTATTTTTCTGTAACATGACCTTGACCTACGACTTTGACCCAATTATATTTTCTGAAGGACGTCGTCTCTGCTTTCACCTCGAACATTAATTTTGATAATACAGTAAGAAATAAGGTCACGGCAAGCATAAACGCAAAGGGCCCGAGATGGATGGGAAGTTTGGACTCAAGGTCAAAATCAAGGTCACGGATGGTTAATGGTGACTAATGGAGGTCACCACGACCTTTCACATTGACCACGCCCATTGACTTCCTTTCGGACACGGGCCCTTTGCGTTTGACCCTTTTCTGACCGAACAGTGTGCGACAGGACCAAAGTAAACGTCGATGGTTCAAGCCAAGTTGATAGCCTTCGAAAATGGTTACGGGGTCAAGGTCGTAAGTCAAGGTCAAATGTCCCAAAACTGACTTTGAAAAGTTTGAGTTTAGTTTTCTGTAAGATGACCTTGACCTACGACTTTGACTCAATTATCTTTTCTGGAGGACGTCGTCTCTGCTTTAACCTCAAACATTAATTTTGATAATACAGTTAGAAATAAGGCCACGGCAAGCATAAACGCAAAGGCCCCGATATGGATGGGACGTTTGGACTCAAGGTCAGAGTCATGGTTACGGATGGTTAACGGTGACTAGTGGAGGTCACCACGACCTTTCACATTGACCACGCCCATTGACTTCCTTTCGGACACGGACCCTCTGCGTTTGACCGTTTTCTGACCGAGCAGTGTGCGACAGGACCAAGGTAAACGTTCATGTTTCAAGCCAATGTGATAGCCTTCGAAAATGGTTACGGGGTCAAGGTCGTAAGTCAAGGTCAAATGTCCCAAAACTGACTTTGAAAAGTTTGAGTTTAGTTTTCTGTAAGATGACCTTGACCTACGACTTTGACCCAATTATCTTTTCTGGGGGACGTCGTCTCTGCTTTAACCTCGAACATTAACTTTGATAATACAGTTAGAAATAAGGCCACGGCAAGCATAAACGAAAAGGGCCCGAGATAGATGGGAAGTTTGGACTCAAGGTCGAAGTCAAGGTCACGGATGGTTACAGGTGACTAGTGGAGGTCACCACGACCTTTCACATTGACCACGCCCATTGACTTCCTGTCGGACACGGGCCCTTTGCGTTTGACCCTTTTCTGACCGAACAGTGTGCGACAGGAACAAAGTAAACGTCGATGGTTCAAGGCAAGGTGATAGCCTTCGAAAATGGTTACGGGGTCAAGGTCGTAAGTCAAGGTCAAATGTCCCAAAACTGACTTTGAAAAGTTTGAGTTTAATTTTCTGTAACATGACCTTGACCTACGACTTTGACCCAATTATCTTTTCTGGGGGACGTCGTCTCTGCTTTCACCTCGAACATTAACTTTGATAATACAGTTAGAAATAAGGCCACGGTAAGCATAAACGAAAAGGGCCCGAGATAGATGGGAAGTTTGGACTCACGGTCGAAGTCAAGGTCACGGATGGTTACAGGTGACTAGTGGAGGTCACCACGACCGTTCACATTGACCACGCCCATTGACTTCCTTTCGGACACGGGCCCCTCTGCGTTTGACCTTTTTCTGACCGAGCAGTGTGCGACAGGACCAAGGTAAACGTCCATGATTCAAGCCAAGGTGATAGCCTTCAAAAATGGTTACGGGGTCAAGGTCGTAAGTCAAGGTCAAATGTCCCTAAAACGACTTTGAAAAGTTTGAGTTTAGTTTTCTGTAAGGTGACCTTGACCTACGACTTTGACCCAATTATCTTTTCTGAAGGACGTCGTCTCTGCTTTCACCTCGAACATTAACTTATACAATACAGAAAGAAATAAGGCCACGGCAAGCTTAAACGCAAAGGCCCCGATATGGATGGGAAGTTTGGACTCAAGGTCAAAATCAAGGTCACGGCAATATTCACACCTAAAGGCCAATCCACTGATCAACACCAAATAGTATTTTATAGAAAATGGTGGCTTCGCGCAAAAATTAAAGTATACGAAAATTATATTAATTTTTATGAACTGCAGTGTTAGGCAGCTAGTGCAGTGTGTCTGTTTCCGTCTTAGTGTCTTGTTATTCGAGTCTAAATAGTAAACAAAGCAAATGGCGTCAAACGGATGAAGCTCTCTCTCGTTAGAAATTAAAAGGTCGGTAAAATAAAAAGTTATTGATCAATTCGGCTGAAATTTGGTGTGTGGTCATTGCTAGTCCCCCTGAACATCCTCTGAAAATTTCAAGTTCCTACGACCACGGGAACTGGTAGAGGTACGAAAGTGCAATAGCGCCAATTTAATTATTAGTCAAACACCATCAGACAATTAAGACAACACTGCCGGTCAATACACAAATGTTCATGTCAGTTCATCTCAAATAAAATCTGTAAATCTACCTATTTCTAAAACTAAAATACTGTAAATAATGTTATGTTCTTAATTTCAGTCTACTTTCCCGCTACTTCTTGCCAGTGATTCCGGTTTACGAGACTAATCGCTGGATAACCTCGACTCAATACGATGCGGCTACGATGCGGAAGTGGTTGATGCTATATCGTATCTAGCGAAATACCAAAAAAGGGAGGAGCTACCAATAGCTAGCTGAGCAGAAATTCTAACGTATTGATCAATCTCCCAAACAGAGTTGTCTTCCCTTGCAGTCCAAACTATCTTAGACTGGATAACCTGCTCTAATACGTCAGACTAGACTGGATAACCTGCTCTAATACGTCAGACTCATACTCGAACCTACGTCACTCCTTTTCTGACTTGCATAGCATAGAAATATAAATCATAGAACTAGTTCTATGTATAAATAGACTAGAATGGCCGTCACGTGACCCGCGACATGTAAATACGGCCGTCATCTTTGTGCATTGATTCTGTTGACGTCGCGCGCGGTGAACTCAATGAATCCAGCTTCGTTTTACGTTACGCTTGAAAGAAAGAAGGGTCGTAAAACAACCCATTGCCATACATACTCACAGGTTTTGTTCTACCAGTTTGTAAAACTTAATATATATCTTCATTCTCCAATTTAATGGAATGACTCTCGAAGCGAAGCCGTTTATAGGCGTTGTACTGGCAGCCACGATGAAACATAACATATTAAGTATGCCATGTCTGCATGTCCAAATGAACTTATTATTTTCATCTACAAATTAAAGACACTGAATGGATGGGCCATGATTGTGGTATTTTATTTTTGAATTTATGGAATCTCGATGATCGACAAAGCACACAAATAAAATATGCTAGTCCGTCCAGCAAAAAGATAGGCGTACAGGCCTAGGCAGGCTCAATACTGACAATAGGATAGGCACAGTTGCGAACTTGCGTACGAAAGAATGTTTTCAAACCAGGCCGGCATTTAGGCCTATACTGCATTTTAATGTTACCGGTAGGTAAGTTATTTCCTTTTGTGTATTAAAATATTTCTTCAGTCCCTTTTTTATACAGACGACCGTAGTTTATTATTCTGAGAGACTAAGATAAGAAGAGTAGGTCAACCGGTACTATTTCAGTAACGTACCTCTACCAGTTCCTGTGATCGTAGAGACTTGAAATTTTCAGGGGGTGTCCACGGGGACTAGACATGACCTCACACGAAATTTCAGCCGAATCGGTCAATAACTTTTTTTATTTTACCGTAGTTTAGCTTCTATAACAGATAAATTTATCCGATTTTGACGCCATTTTGTTTGTTGACTATTTAGGCTCAACATTTTCAACATCTAAAGGCATATTATAATCATCACCATATCACCATTCCTGGAAACCGTGGATGGGACATATGTAGAAGTGGAAGCTTGAATGATTGCTGTGTCGTCCATTCCAACTACATTGCCACTGCAATGGTAGGGTGACCCACCATAAATAAATATCTCCATATATCTCGACAATTTCGCCACAATATTTATATATATGCCAAGCCTCAAATCAGTTTCACACAATTATAGTCACTAAATAAACGATCATGTTGTACTTAATAAGCTATGACCATTAATCATCTATAAATAATAGACTGAAAACTGGTTCCATGTGTCGTCCATAACATCCAGACACTCTTGAGTAAAAGATAGGTTACGTGCCCTTGTTTTGAAATTAGTCTCGCTTAACCAGTCTATCGACCATTCTAGGGCTGATTGACAGGTCGGGATAATCAAGACTACTTTTTTACGAAACATAACAGAAAGCTAGAACAAGAAATTGAATTTAGAAATGAGCACGTTAGCTAGCTAAACAATTGTTTTAAGAAGCTTGTAAAAGTAAAATGAAACTACTGCTAGTATCATGTTCCTGTCTAACCCGAGTGCTTCAGAGATATTATTTGTACTAAACCGAAAGATGCCGCTCTTAACGGTACAGTTAATGATAAAGTAATTTAAAAAATGTTAAACGAACGTAATTTCTAAATATGCTGTAATAACCAAGAAGCTTAATTTTACTGCTATTCAAAATCGTCAACAATAAATTTTTTACGGCTGTAATAGTTGATAGATTTGTAGAGAATTGCACGTGTCAGAAAGTTGGACTCGACACGGCGAATGTGCACGCTTCAGTGGTAGTCTCGAACTATCAGCGGTTGACTGTATTTCTGTAGGTGCATGGGTCACCCTAGCAATGGACCCACTTGTACTTGTTCCAGCGCGTGATATAAGGCGTCTAAATGCAGCCTTAATTAAAGTGAATAACAGTGGGGTTATTATTCCAGCCACCTACAAAGAAAAGTTAAAAACTTGATTATACAACAAATAAATGGTTATTATCTTTCAAGAGCACTAATGAATTTTGTTTTATTGCCTTTCAGGTGTGTGTTTTTCAATATGCCACTTCTTAAATTTCATTGTTGAACTTGATGACATACAAGCAGGATTTCAGGAAGAGCTGTATCGTGTAAAACCATAAAATTGAGAGGACAGTTACCCTCATTGCCATTGGATACCTCTTTTTTACCAGCTGGAATCTCAATGAATTTCCACTTTTGGCTACAATACATGTATGTTATATGTTTTAATCAAGAATATAATGATTACAATAATATCAAAGACTTGTCTTATTTTTTTTATATATTAGCAAACACAACAGGGCTACATTTAAATTTGTTTATTCAAATAAATGTTTGTGGATGTGATATTTGCCCATATATATTTTATAAAAATCTTACCAATTCTACGTACAGCATTGAAAAATAGTTCTAAGTGATCTTGGCTTAATTTATATGTCAGTAGATATTTGAGTGGGTGCACATCAGTATAAAAGAGATCTGAAGACAAACCAAGGATGCTGTCTATATTTATGACCATTCCCATAAATCCTGTTTTCCTGAAATTAACAGCATTTAAAGAGATTATTATTCTTTGTTTGTAAAAGATACAAGAAAAATACAATTGTTAATGATTCCTATTTTCAGTTATAAGTTTGTGTAAAAGTTCAACTTGAATAAAATATTTTCATTTAATATATTTTATGCCAAGGCAGAAATATGCCAATATACGTAAGCTACGGTAAGCTTATAAACTGATGACTTCATTAAAGATAATAATGATAACCCATTATAATAACATAACCAAGCATTCAATGAAGATATATGTTTATGTAGTAAAAAGAAAAAACAGAAATTAAATACAACTCTTTAACAAAACTGTTAAACAAAATAAATATCTTTTAATTACTAATAATTACAGTTTATGTTCAGATACCATTAGTGAAATAGATATGTAAACAATAATAATTGACAATTTTATGGACCAAAAACCTTGAAAAGTGACCTGCTGAAAATCGCCTATTTCTCCGCAACTGAACAAGTTAGAAATCATTTTGTGATATCTATATGATCGTATGGGATCATTCTATTAGTTGATTGGAATCAAATATCATAATTTTAAAAACATTACAAATCGGACTCATTTGAATAAAATATCTGTTTTGAAGGCTATAAATACATTTTTTGCCCAAATGGCGCCATTTCCGGTGACATTGAAAATGGTAAATTGGTTTAAACTAGTCAATATTGACATTACACGTCAATGGTGTCACTTTTATGAAAATCCAATAATAATTGGCTCTTTTACAGGCAAAATAGCGTAAAAAGTGACTCATGCAAAATTGACCATTTCTCGGCAACTGCTCATATTACAAACTAAGTTTCACATACATTCTCTTCGTATGGATTATTGCTACAAGTTTATGAAAGTTGTGAAAAAATATTTTAAAATATGAAAAGCCTGAATGGGTTGTAAATAGCTCATTTTTACACCTTTTTTCACCTTTAAATCGAAATGGCGCAAATACAAAACCAAAATTAAAAAAAAGCGAGTCCGAGATTTTTTGCGCCTTTTGTAGGGGCATTTATCTTCATCTATCAGATTTGCAAAAATTAACATTTGCTATTGAAAAGACGTTCCGACTCGACAAAATTGTAGTTTTTAGTAAATTTGCGTCACATCCGGTGCCGATAGAAAACTTTACCGGTAATAAAAAAATTGAGAATTTGCACTATGGAGCATATGAACCTTGTTTTATAAAAATCGGACAATAAATAATTAACCTAGAACCGATAAAATGGATTAGCCAATAGCGGTGAAGAAAAATTATCGAGACAAAAAATGTTCACATTTTTGCTCAAATCAGACGACCCCTTAACCCTGGGTAAAATGCCATAAAAAATTATTTATTAATAAAAAAGTTTTTTGTCAAAATTTAAATTTTCAAAATTTGGTGCCTAATATCTCCGAAGATTCGTCGAAAATCAAAAATCTAAACTACCGTAGCCATGTGCCCTGTCTCAGGCTATGTCAAAATGTATCCAATGTTAAAATCCAACCATTATTGTTAATATTACGGCAATATTTAAAAAAAAAAACAACTTGGCGATTTCGGACATTTTGCATTGTCACACAGAACGTTCGAAATAGCTTTAATCTTTAAGTCACACCCACTTTCCCAGGAAAACCGAAGACATCGAATCGATCCGACAAGTAGTTTCTGAGATATGCTCAAGTGGGAAAAAAAATAATAATAATAAGAAGAACTAGAACTGCGAAGCAGTAATGACGGGTTTCACCGGTGCCACGTTACCCTTGAACTTATGTCACTTCCGGTACCAATGAAACCGTTAAACAGGTTTCCACATAAGCATTGCACACATGAAATAAAATGGACGCAGAAACAACCAAATCCAGCAATCAATTCATTTGCTACATGTCAGTGATCCTGTCAAAATTACATTACTTCCGGTGATAATGAAAATGTTAAATTGGTTTATGAAATCAGAAATAGCATCATCACATGGTGAAAATTTTATGTAAATCCTATAATAATTGCCACCTTTATAGACCAAAAACCTTGAAAAATGACTTGTAGAAAATCGCCTATTTCTCTGCAACCGTACAAGTTAGAAACCATTTTGAGGTATCTGTATGATCGAATGAGTTCATTCTATTTGTTGATTGGAATCAAATATCATAATTTTAAAAACATTACAAATCTGATTCATTCGAATAAAATATCTGTTTTGAAGGCTAAAAATACAGTTTTTGCCAAAATGACGTTACTTCCGGTGATAATGAAAATCTTAAATTACTTGTATGAAATCGTAAATGGCATTATGTATCACACAGTGAAAATTTCATGAAAATCGAATAATAATTGACACTTTTATTGACAAAAAACCTTAAAAAGTGACCTGTTGAAAATTGCCTATTTCTCCGCAACTGAACAAGTTAGAAACCATTTTGTGATATCTATATGATCGTAAGGGTTCATTGTATTAGTTGATTTGAATCAAATATCAAAATTTTAAACAAATAACAAATATGACTCATTTGAATAAATTACTGGTTTCGAAGGCTATAAATACAATTTTTGCCCAAATTACGTCATTTCCGGTGATATTGAAAATGTTAAATTGGTTTGACCTAGTTAAAATTGACATTACACATCAAATGGTGTCACTTTTATGAAAATCGAATAATAATTGACTCTTTTACAGGCAAACTAGCGTAAAAAGTGACTCATGCATAATTGCCCATTTCTCGGCAAATGCGCATATTACAAATTAATTTTCAAATACATTCTCTTCGTATAGATTATTGCTACGAGTTTATGAAAGTTATGAAGTAATATTTTAAAATATGAAAACGCTGGATGGGTTGTAAATAGCTTAATTTTACACCTTTTTTCACCTTTTAATCGAAATAGCCCGAAAACGGAATCGAAATTAAAAAAACTGGTCCCAACATTTTGTGCGCCTTTAAAGGGCGCACAATTTCAGTTATACCAGATTTGAAAAAAATAATATTTGCTTTCAAAAATTGGTACCTAACTGTCAAAATTGTAGTTTTTTGTCAATTTACGCCACTTCCGGTGCCGACAGATAACACTATTGGTAACCAAAAAAATGACAATTGAGACAACGGAGCATATGAACTTTGTTTTATACAAATCGAACAATAAATAATTAATCTAGGACTGAAAAACTGAATTAGCCAATGGGGGCCAAGGAAAATTACCGAGACAAAAATTTTTCACATTTTTGCCCAAGTCAGAGGACTCGTTATATTTGTGTAAAACACGACTAAAAAATATTCATAAATAAAAAAGTTTTTTGTAAAAATTTAAATTTTCTAAATTTAGCGCCTAATATCTGCGAAGATTTGCCGAAAATCAAAAATCAAAAGTAGCGTAGCTATGTGCCCCGTCTCCGGCTATGCCAAAATGCATCGAAAGTTAAAATCCAATGATTATTGTTAAAATTACTGCAATATTTCTAAAAACGATAGCTTCGGTGATTTCGGACATTTCGCATTGTCGCAGAACGTTCAAAATAGCTTTATCCTCTAAGTCACACCCACTTTTCCGCTAAAACCGAAGAAATCGTAACGATCCGACAATCAGTTGCTGAGATCTACTCAAAACAAAAGAAGAACTAGAACTGCGAAGCAGTAATGACGGGTTTCACCGGTGCCACGTTACCCTTGAACTTATGTCACTTCCGGTACCAATGAAACCGTTAAACAGGTTTCCACATAAGCATTGCACACATGAAATAAAATGGACGCAGAAACAACCAAATCCAGCAATCAATTCATTTGCTACATGTCAGTGATCCTGTCAAAATTACATTACTTCCGGTGATAATGAAAATGTTAAATTGGTTTATGAAATCAGAAATAGCATCATCACATGTTGAAAATTTTATGTAAATCCTATAATAATTGCCACCTTTATAGACCAAAAACCTTGAAAAATGACTTGTAGAAAATCGCCTATTTCTCTGCAACCGTACAAGTTAGAAACCATTTTGAGGTATCTGTATGATCGAATGAGTTCATTCTATTTGTTGATTGGAATCAAATATCATAATTTTAAAAACATTACAAATCTGATTCATTTGAATA